GGAGGGGGGGAGAGGGGAGGGGGGGAGAGGGGAGGGGGGGAGAGGGGAGGGGGGGAGAGGGGAGGGGAGGGGAGGGGAGGAGAGGGGAGGGGAGGGTTCCTCTCTCTTTCTCTGTTCCCCCCTCCTCTCCCGATTCCGCGGCTCTCTCAACCCTTCTTCACGACACACCACCACCACCTCTTAAAACCTTGCAGATGGAGCGACGTGAGCGGCTGAAGCGCATTATCGCGCAGCGGGACGGTGAGCTGGATCTTGACCTACCCACCACCGAACAAACCCTGGTGGAGGAGGTGGCGGTGCAAAAGGTGGGGGGAGGGCGACAGGGTGCTGGTGGGGGTGGTGATGGTGAGAATGGGGGTGGCGGTGCTTGTAGATGGGGGGAATGTACAGATGAATCGGGCCTACGTCTAGACAGGCGATGTCACAATGATGTCACATTCCATTCCTAGCAAGGCAAAATTTTTATTTTCTGTACGGCTCATACGATACGCAAATCGTGAATAAGGTAAATGAAGCAAGCAATTCCATGGTTGTGCAGGAGTTGTTCTACACGGAGGGCCCTGACGAGCTCCGTACGGCCCGCCTGGCACTGACCCGCTACTCGCTGCTCCGAGCTAAGGCCCGGCTTCTGGGGGCGAAGAGGAGGAGGGAGGACCCGGGGGCGTTGCAGGTGGGGGAGGGAGAGGGGAGGGGAGGGGAGGGGAGGGGGGAAGAGGGTAGGGGTGGGAGAGGGGAAGGGAGGGGAGGGGAGGGGAGGGGAGGGGAGGGGAGGGGAGGGGAGGGGAGGGGAGGGGAGGGAGAGGGGGGAAAAGAGGAGGGAGAAACCTCTTTTCGCTCCCCCTTCATCTATATATCTCTATGCCCCCGCAGGCTTCCGCATCCGCGCAGTCGGCCGCTGCGGATGCCGTACGTACTATCGTACAACAGAGCTCTGAGTTGGGTGACACAAGGCCCATCAGTCACTGTCAGTTCTCTCCGGATGGAGCTTGTCTGGCGGCTTGTGGTGAGGGAGGAAGAGAAAATTGGCTCGTGTGTATTTATGTGTTTTGGGGAAAAGGGGAAAGTTTGGAAAAGCATAAAAAGGGAGGAAAAGCCGGGCTGGAAAAAAGGCGGAAAACCACTCGCCGGCCCGCCCGCACGCGCCGGCAGATTTGTTGTGCTCCCTTCACAGTATGTCTGAGTGATTCCTGATTTCTGATCACAAAAGCCCAACTCCCAACTCCTAACCAACCCAACCCCCGACACCTTCCCACACCTCCTCCCCCACCACCACCCCCAGGCTGGGGAGGCGCCCTGACGCTGTGGTCCGTACCCGCGTGTGTACGGCAGTGGACCGCCCCCACCCCCTCAGAGGCACCTCGCCTGACTGGGGTGGCTTGGCACCCCGCGGCGGCGCCAGGTCAACTGACCCATGGGTCGTCACCAGGGGCAGCGGCGGCGGAACCAAGCAGTACGACAGTCGTCAGCCTTGCGTCCGCGGCCTCGGATGGCGTGGCAAGGCTGTACAATGTGAACGGTAGGGTTGGTTGAGGCGGAAGTGTTGGGTGTGGTTGAAGTGGTTGTTGTTGGGGGGAGGGGGGAGGAAAGAAGTGTGGGTGGCTGCGGGTGTCGAAAGGTTAACTTTTGACGGGGGGGGGCTGTTTCCCCCACAACCCCATTTAAGCAAAATACACATAAAAACTCCTCTTCCTCGACATGCACATTTTTGGAATATATACTTCGAATTAATGCTTTATGTTCGCATGCCGGTTCACCCTCCTTACCCCCTTTTTTGACTCCTAAAACCCCGTTATCATCATCATCATCACTATCATCATCATCATCACCATCATGACAGGTCAGCTCATTCGTACATTGGAGGGTCACACGGAGCGGTTGGGCCGACTGGCCTTCCACCCGCTGGGGCAACACCTGGTGCGTACGACACATGGGACTTGGCTTGCATCAAGTATATTTTTGTGCATTTTGGGGGGTGTTGACGAAGGCGTGTGTATGTGTGTGTGGTGAGGGGAAGAGGTGAAGTGGTGAGATAGCGGCCTCGAGGATTGAGGAGTCGGACGTGGGGAAATGGGGGAGAAGAAGAAGAAGTGGTAAACACGCATATGGCTACTGAAGGAGGGGGAAAGAAAAACAAATGAAGCAAATATTTCGGTCATTTATCTCGTGAAGAAATTTTAAATCTGTCCGCGCCCCGCCCTTTTCTTTATCTCTTTTCCCCCGCCTTTCTCCCCCCCCTCCCCTCTCGTGGTTCGTCTTTTCCCCCTCCCCTCCCCTCCCATCCCCCTCCCATCCCCCTCCCATCCCCTGACGGGCCCCCCCTCAGGCCACCGCCAGTTTCGACACCACTTGGCGCTTATGGGACGTGGAGACGGGATTGAATCTGTTAGAGCAGGAGGGGCACTCGCGTGCCGTGTATGGGGTGGCCTTCCACCCGGACGGATCGCTCGTGGGGAGTGCGGGGCTGGACGCGTACGGTGAGTGTGTGTGTGTACGGCACAGTGTGCTTGATCGTACAGGACGTGAAAACCAGGTGGTCGCCTTGGAACGGCAAACGGTGGAAGGACGAGTCTGGGCAACTGCTGACTGAAACCTCCTTTCTTTCTCTAAAAACAACCCCTACCCCGCCCCCGAACGTGTGTGTTTTCTTGCCGTACTCCCGTACAGGTCGTATTTGGGACTGTCGTACAGGCCGTAGCGTGTTGCTTCTGGAGGGCCATGTTAAGCAGCTGTTGTCCATCGACTTCTCCCCCAACGGCCACCACGTTGCTACGGGCAGTGAGGACCACACGGCCAAGGTCTGTATGCATGTGGTGTGTGCGTGTGTGTGTGCGTGTGTGTGTGCGTGTGTGTGTGTGTGCGTTGTAGGGCGGAAGGGAAGGGGAAGATGGGAAAAGGGGTGTGTGGGGTGAAGGGTGGGGTGTGATGCCCTGCTTGCTTGCTGACCTGTCCCTTATTGCTATGTACATACATACGTACATACATACATACACATATACATACGTACATACATATACATAGATACATATACATGAATGCAGGTGTGGGACCTCCGCAAGCGCGGTTGTCTGTATACCCTCCCCGCCCACACCTCCCTCCTCTCCACTGTACGGTGGGAGAGAACCGCGGGTCACTACCTGCTCACGGCGGGGTACGACTGCGTGGCCAAGGTAGGTGGGGAGCAGGGGGAAGGGAGGGGGCTTCGCACGACGTGTATACATTGTGTATATGCATTTGTGAAGTGATGGGGCGTGTCGTACACTAGGCGTGTACTACAACGGAATCGTACTGACTTGGTGTACGGAAAGTCGTGCTGAACCTTCTCGCGCCGTTCAACCAACCTGCACACGTTTTCCCCGGACCCGCCTTTACCTCCCGTCAGTGCTCAACTCGTCTCACCTCCACACACACATACACACACGCCCGCCCCAGTGCACTGAGATCATCACACCGCCGCATCACCTCCCCGACACCCCCCTCGTCTCCGTCTCCTTCTCCCCACACAGCTATGGAACGGTCGGGACTTCACCCTACTGAAAGCACTGGCGGGTCACGAGGGCAAGGTCATGGGAGCTGACGTGTCACCCACGGGTGACCACCTCGTTGCAACGGTATCGTACGACCGTACGATCAAGATGTGGGCACCGGAGAAGCTGCCGCCGGTGCTGCCACCGCCGTGAAGGCATACAGACGGACAGACGCACATAAGCTTGCTTTCGTCATTCCTCTGGGGTTACTGGTGTTTGCATCAGCAATATGCGCAGATAGCAGTTGAGAGAGCCAGGCTTGGCGGTTGATCTGCTGCCACCTTTTACTGGCGCCGCGCCTTATCGGGTTTCACCGGAATCTTGTAAATTGAAACAAACGACAAATGACAATGAGAACATTGAATGTGTTGTCAATGTGGAATAGACTTGAGTCACTGGTTTGGATTTCAGGGGGGTTATAAGGGTGTGATCGCATTGAAGGTTAAGAACGGCAATTGGAGACACAGATGGACAGACAGACACATGAAATGCAGATCTTTTGATTCTGGACATGTACATGTTTGTTTCACTTCATTTGGACTTGGATAGCTTATGGTTGCATGGGTTTTAATGGATGCCTGTACGGCTGGTGCATGGGAGCCATGCACCAAACACTGATGCCTGATTGATAAATGACTGCGCTTCGATTTTAAGTGTACGTCTCCCAGGTGCATCAGGCTTACAGGCATCCAGTCAAACACAGAGAAGCCTAGGCTATCCAACTCCAAAACGGATTAAGCAAAACTGCACGTGTCCAAAAAGAAAGGTATACATGTTGATGTGGCATTCATTTCGGGCGTTTGGGTTCTGACCTGGTTACCTTAACCTGGGGGTTTAGGTGGGTGGCTTTCCCTTCACGCCCAGCTCCATCACCTCTGAACGCAGCACAGGAGGTAACCCCATTAACCGTACACGTATATACTAACATGTCGTCTCTTTTGATGACATGGCAGCGGTCGTACATGACTTCGGCCGCACATGCGCCGTGAGCGCCCCGTATCCGTCGATACAGGCGCCATGCGCGGCCTGTAGCCGTAGACAGTGCGAGCGTGGACATACAGAGATGGAAAGCAAAGGCGAAGGAAGGTTGACACCCGACAGCGCAAAGTGGCTGGAGCAATAATCTGCTGGTACACAAGTGGAAGACATTGATCATTAAAACCACATACTGAAGATAGTTGTTTTGAAGCATATTTTGAAGCATGCTGTTGTGAAGCATGTTGTGTAACATGTGAAAAATTCTATGCAAAACACCCGTGTGACATATCCCGCTGTCAACATGTTCATCCAATCGGCAAGGGGAAAGCACAGAAAACATGGAATTAGCCAGGCGGAACCACGTAACTCGATCAATGTGGGACTTGAACCCACTGAAGCCCCCATGGGACAGACCGGGGCCCCCATGTCGTACGAGGGATATGCACCCAGACACAGTCACCGACACAGGCATCACTGCATCACGACATTTCCCGCCGCATCCATCATCACGGGCTTTCCTTTCACGGCCCGCTGCACGAGCTTTACATTCATGCCTCAGTCTTTCAATTTCAGCGAAACCCATTTTGTTGTGATGATCTCCTCGAAGCTGAGTCCAAGAATAGTCTAATTCCGGCTCGTCCGTCTCATCCTCAGCAACCACAGAGCCTATCTATCGCAGCGTTGGAGATCAGATTACTCGTTGGAGATCAGATTACTCAAGATTTTTAGACGAGTAATTTGTCTATAGGAAAGGAAGAAGTCCAGTCCAGTCAGGGGCAATCACGACGATGGGATTGCCTTAGACCAGCTGAGCAAGCTGGGGGACTCGGGGCCCGGCCGGGATAAGACACATACAGGAAACGGCACTACTGGTAATGCGCGACCGTTGCCCCCGGGAAATCCCGGGATCGAGACCCGTCAGGGTCGAAAATCCTTCCGATGGTGGAAGGTATTGCGCCCCTAGTTGATGGACGGTGGTGACCTGGGATTAAGTTAACCTGCGAGCCGACCAGGAATGGAGTTGGGCCGCTGTCGACCCGGCAGACGGAACCTGAGCGATCCACTGAGAAGTTGACTAGGGTGACTGGATGAGGGTGCCCCGAAATACCGGGGAAGGCAGGATTTCGCAGGGTAGCTGCCACGGGCGAAGATATACCCCCTGATCCACACATCATAAGAGGAAATTTGGGGCGTAAAGAATGGCTTAGGTGCCGACTGACGCTTCTCGAGACTGACGCACCCAAGCTGTGGCCATCACCATCATCATCATCATCATCATCATCATCATCACCATTATCATCATCATCATCATGAGTTACAGAGCTGGGCCATTGTGCGCCATCGCGCCGCATTCCGTGTATTGCTCTCTACCGATCCCCTCCCACACGCTCAGTTGTTCATACATGTACACACGTGCACACCACCTTGGTCACCTTGGCGCCAGGTGCACGTACAGCAGCTCATAGCCCGCCAGCAGCTCCACCACCGCGACGTCACGGCCCTGGAGACGCGGTAACGACAAGTTGTACTCCGTGTACTGTGCTCCAGCTCCAGAGAGGGGCAGGACTGCCAGCCGCATGGCACCAGGAACCGACTTCCAGCGGCGGACAGCCGCATGCAGCGCCTCAAGGTTTGCCGAGCTGAAGCACCCACCAGGCGCCCACAGCCGCGATCCATGTCCCGTACGTACCAAGTTATTACACCAGCACCACAGGCAGACCGGCGGTGACGGCGGTCATCAGCTCGTGCTCGCAGTCTGCATAGAAGGCGGCGTACGCGAGGTAGCCGCTGCGGCTGACAGCGGCCTTGTCCCACTCGAACAGCATGCCCACGTGCTTCAGTCTCGGAGTATTGCCCAAATGCTTCCCCTGGACTGGCAGCTGCATCACCAACGTCGCGAACTTGCCCGGCTCCAACTCTTGTGTCGCGGTGAGAAACTAAGTGGCCACAGGGGGATACAGCAGCAGCTTGTACAGTCGGGCCTCCGCGCCAGCAATTGCAACGATACCCAGCGTGCTGTCGACGCCTGGAAGCGGGATCAGAACAATGGTGGTCAGGATGATTGCAGATTGTGTGTGTCCCCAAGGAAACGGCCTGTGCCCCTATGTATGCGAACATGAACCATGAGGCTATGGTGCTGATTTCTAGGAGTCGAATCGATATGGGAGAGTGGAATTTTTTTTTCGGGTGCTGTCTTCTGGTCCAATCGTGCGCGAAACAGGAAGAACCAGATCCCATCAAGATGTTCAGTGCATTAAATATATGCTTATCTTCGCTACACACCGTGCAAGAAGGATCAAGTTTCCCCCCATAGGTGAGTTGGCAAGGAACAGTACGCAGCATGCAGAGCACGTTTGCGCCAAGGAGTGCGGTTTCGCACCTGCGGTGATTTCCTGCAAGGTCACCTCCCATGCAGAGTTAATTTGAACGTGGGTTGCGTCTGCCCGACGGACGGCAGGCTCGAGCAGCGTGTTGGGAACTCTACCGTAGGGCGCAGGTTCAACAGCTGCCAGTAACGCAGCAGCTTGGCGAGTTTGGAGAGGCAGAGTCAACGTGCCAACGCTTGTCACATATAACTTGGGAAGTGGCTACGTGGCATCGCCTCCACCCCTGCATGCAAGATTACCTTCCAAGTCGACGTTCTCAACAGCACGCGCAAGGCTCTACATCCAGTCAGTTTCGGTTCCATTGATTCCGGCGTATTCGGAAGCGTTGCCGACCTAGTGAAAAGCTTCAGTGGCCGAATCGCAAGGATTTTCGGCTTTATGATAAGCTAGAACGTGCCAAAGAGCTAATCAGGTGACCTCCAAACAAAAATCTGTAAATTTTATAAGGATCGGGTACTGAAGAATAGGACTCGATGAATCACTGTACATAAGCGACGATGCACTTCCGGGTCCAAAAACGTATCACTGCCATAGTGACATGGTCCCTGAAAACTTATTGTGATGAAATGAACACAAGACAGTATGCTTGGCGTGTAAAGTACGGACGAATATCAGCCCATAATGTTGGGGAACACGCCCGCTGCTGTCAAGCTCCTAACTTGTCAGTTAGCCTACTTGACGGCAGCTGACAAGAAGTTCAGGACAGCTGATGGACTTGAGATCCACAGAGTTTGGATTCAGGCAAGAAGAGAGGGAGCCTTGTATTTCGTTGCAACCTCTTCCGGCAGTGTTTCCAAGTCCGGGTCTAGGTACAAGTCCATGACCTTTACGCCGCACGCAGGGCTATGTTGCCAGTGTCAAGCCAGATGCAAACAGCTTTGAAGTCACGGATGAGACGGGACCACCGCTGCTCGTCAGGGGCAGCGCCGGCGAGCGCGCGCTTGGAGAGTACGTGCTTGTGGTCGGCAAGCTCGGTTTGAGGCGCATACCGAAGATTGGCGTAGGCAATCGGAGCCAGGACGCGGACGGCACAGCTGCGGGAAAGCGCCAAAAGGACTTCCAGCTGGCTGCGCAAAAGGTTCGCGCCCTGTCCGGTGCGAGCCGGCGTGCAGGCCTCTGGCATCAGGAGGTGCGTTTCCTGCACCAGTATGTTTATCCAAAAGTCGCACAAAACCAGCTGCAGCTGCAGCAACCGCAAAATGATTGAATGTCAGGTCGCTAGCGCTTGCTGATCTAGTTTGGTTTTCTGCAATTTAGCAAGAGAGGTCCTGGTTCAGTTCCTGGTCAGTTCCCCGGCGTTTTTCTGGAGTATTCGGTTTACATACTGCTACTGAGGTGTCGAGATGAGATCTAGTTGATGGACTTTGATTGGCGGTGATGGCTGACCTGTCTCTGTGGATATCGGGTGACTGGATGAGGAGTTGTCTAGATGGCTAGACCTGAAACCGCCTTCGAAGTACGGCGGAATTACCTTTCAGTCCATGGCCCCCAATCGGGCTTTGACGGACAACCCCCCATTCGTGGGGAGCTTGTAACTTGCTAGCGCGTAACGCGTTGGGAAGCAGCAGGCGAGGTCGGATGTCGCATTTAACGCGTCCAGATGCCGCAGACAAGCATTTAAAACCAGATTTTTACGATGTGGCGCTGGCAGAGTTGGGTTATTGCCGAGTTTGCGGCAGGTTACGCGGCAGGCTGTCGACTGTAAATGGGGATGCAGTGGGACTCCCTTGGCCTGCAGGGCGCAAGGCTGCGCTGAACCTGAAGTACCGAAATTCATGTTACCTTAGGGCTGTTGTTGTGACAGCTGCAGTACACCGAAAGGCGCGGATTGGGGAGTGCGGACGAGAGCCTTTTATATGACTGGGCCTTCTACATGCTTTACATGCTTTACGAACAAATAAAAATTTGAATTCGCAGGCAACAAACGACCGCGGCTGCGTGCAGTGCATTATATGGTCAACCAGATCCCACATTTTGAAATGGCACAGCAGGCCTCTAGGGCGCAGCATGGATTTGCCATGGTCTGTTTGAGGACAGCAGGCTTAGCACGGCATGTCCGGATTGACGCCTTTCTGATTTTCGAATCAATGAACAATACCGCATATACGAGATTATATATCTCAAACAGCCTCCTTTTTTTTGGATACGAGGGGGTGTTTAGCCCAGCCTGTTGGGACGGCGTGCAAGATCGTTCAGCGCTTCACCGACTCGGTCATCGGTCGAGTCAGGACTCAGGATTATCGGATCACTATTTCTTGGACAGCTCCTCTTTATAAAAGAAAAAGTCTTTTTTGTCGAACCTTTACATATTCGCTGCGAATTTGGTATTGGGAATTGGGCACTTTACCGGTGCTACCTGATTCCGTAACACTGTAACAGCGCCAATATATGCCACCCATGCCTTACCGGGGCCAGTGGTGTTAAGCAATTACTTGAGTAGTAAGCGCGGAAGGAAGTTTTGCGCGGAGTGGATGCGATTTCGGTGACACCGAAACCGATGCAGAAGTCCTGCCCGAGCCGTCTGTGACCGGAGTCGGCCACATCCACCTGCCTCTTAGCGACCGTAACGCAGCTCGGCTCTCGAAAGCAGGATAGCCCGCTCCATAGGGGAAAGGCACCGAGACGGTGCTGGACCCGGCCGTTCGACAGGAGCAACCAGCTAGTTGGACAGGAGTGCCCATTCAAAGGGTTGGCGGTTGAGAACTTTCGAGTTGAGTTTTGGTTATCCCATGCGTCTGCAAAGGCATGCCTGGGAGAGGAGGGTTGTTGGCGGCTTACATCCTATGATGAACCTAGCTGGGAACGGCTGGGAAAATTGTATCGCGCATCGAGATCAATTGGAAGCGATTACCCATTTCCTTGGCGTAATTACGATCGTTGCACTGACTTTAATGTTGCCACGTGTATGTGACATTAGGACGTACAGACGCTGTCAAGGGCCAAACCTAAAGCCAGTGTGTGCCACACTTCAAAAGGAAGCGACGAGTACGAGGAGCCCCATGCGATCAAGAACACAGCAGCAGACTAATGATGTGTGACGAGAAATGCTAGATGGGATAGGCAGTGCGTAAAGCCGGTTTAGCCAAAAAGGGACCTCCGTTCCCCGCGGGCAGGCAGGCCAGAAGTGTGAATGTTTTTCTATTCTGTGGCTGTGCAACAGGCCGATTAGGACAATATGAAATAAATCACGAACAAAGATTGGCATAAGGCGGCGTGAAGTAAAAAGTTGGCTGAACCCTTGGACTTGACGCTTGTTACTAAGGACGAAAACGAAGAGAACAAGCTTGTAGCAGCAAGCGCGCTAAAGGTGGAAGACAAGAACCTAGAGAATCGTAGGTTGAGGTGCAGAGAAAGGATAATTCTTCCGCCGCGGTTGCAGCTTTACGACGTCGCAGACTCCGAGATATCCTTCCACAGGTGCTGCTGAAGCGGACAAGGGAAGACGATGATGTTCCACCATGCAGCCGCACTAAAAACGATTTACCGTCCATGGATCCCCATGGATGGATGGATGTTACAAGCTTCAGCGAGCTGGTACGGCTCAGACGAACCTGGAGGCTCATGAACCGCTTTGACAGCGCCGATGATAGAAAAAAGAGAAAAGGTAGAGAGAATATTTTTAAGCAGCCCCTCGCAGAAATGTGTCCGGTCGTACTTCGCGAATAAACAGACCGTACAAAATGGGCCCAAAGACAGTCCCGAATTTTAACGCGCGGATGCGCGCGTGCGATTCGCAAAATGCGCGTGTACAAGTGTATATAAATTTTCATAGAAGAAACGCTGCGGTGCGAGAGCGCGAATCGCAGGAAGGCATGCTGGCCACAGGCGCACGCGGCATGCAGCCCGGACAATGGGATGCCTGCTTTGCTGTAATTGAAAGCACAGAAAGCAAAAACGAAGCTTGCAAGACTGGGCGCTTGAAACGACCGCGGGAAGAGGAAGCGTTTGGCGAAGCGGCAGTTTGCGCAAGCAAACGGGCGCGGATTCCGTAGCGCAACGCAAACAGCCCTTTGTTCACCGTAGGTCAGATTACAAACTTGCTCGAAAAAACAAAACGAACACAAGCTAAACAACAGAAGACATAAGTCGTTGGCAAACGTGCAAGTAACATGGACGCCGTTGTTGGCTTGGAAGAGCTATTTGCTGCGCATTCGGCCGTGCCTGCCTTAGACGTCTTGCAGCACCTCCGAAAGGACGTCGGCCAGCAGCAAGCTCAAGCGCTGCTGAACATCCACCGGGAATATCTACAGCTGAGCAGGTGTAGTTTTGGACGTCGGGGCCGACCATCTTACGCATTGCGCACTGAAGCCGACGTGCAGCGTCTATGCAGTATCGCCAAAATATCCGGTACGGGAGTGCAGGCTTCTGAACAAGAAAGACCGGAGGTCACATCTTAAGAATCAACCAAGCATGCATGTCCCCTTGCAGATGAAGACACGGCGCGTTTCTGGGCGACAGATGTCGGTCAGCGTTTACGTGGTGAGCCCAGACCAAGGGGCGGCATACTTGTGGTTATGGCGGTGGTATATCGAAGGACCGCTCATCAGGCACCTGCCCACATTAGCCCGCCCCTATTCAGAAACCGATATTGTAAGATGATGCCATTTCCAAAGATGTTGACCGTGGATAGTGGGATGACGAGGACCATTTCAAACGCCAACCATGTCCATATACAGCTACAATGGCTGCGTAACTGTCTGCTGCATAATACCCCAATCGCCAGGTCCGCATGGCGCCGCAGCCGTCCGTGAGGCGAATACACATGATGGCAGCGTGCGTGGCGACGTCAGCGATACCGGTACGACCAACACGTCATCCATGCGTATCGATGAACAACCAACCGGCGTTCACGTTGGGAATGCCGAGCCATCCAGCAGCACCGGTAAGCGTGTGCCAATGTGAGCATGTGATCCGCGGAGTGTGACATGATATGCAGCACATCGCAGAAATACAGTGAGGCCTCTTCTGAAGGCACTGCTCACAGCCACATCCAAGTCCACACGCATCATGTTGATAACGGGGCTCCCTGCTGATGCTTGCTATGCAGGCCAACTCCGGGTGCCCCTATATGCTCGCAGCGACATTAGCAACTGTGCTGTCGTGCCGCTCGATGCCCACACAACGTGTTTGGACTGCATGCGACATGGCCTCATTGCCGCGGGCGCCACTGATGTGCCTGCGCCTGAAATTCTGCTGGCGACCGTGGTGGCCGCCATTGCCGAGTGTTGGGAGTCGATGCGCTTTCAAGTGCTACACACCCATGCCAGCAGCCTCCCCAGCACTTGCACGGCGACACAATATGGTGAAGCCCTACAGCAGCACCGGCTGCTGCCAGGCGATGTGGAGCTGGCGGTTCTTGCCCATGCTTTCAACATTGCGATCACAGTGTTTGACCCGGCTGGGCTGCAGATCTGCTACTGGGGCTCCAGCTCAGCGCCAACAGAAGTGTGCCTCATCCGGCAGGCGGGCCTCGCTGGCGCCCCCTTGCCTTACCGCCTGCTGGATATGGTGCCGGGTGTGTGGACAGGGCAACGCCGCCAGCATCTTGTCGTGGCTTGTCGCGCGGTTGGCCTCTGCATGTCAGAAACACCGTCAGCCGAGCGGGCTGGTCAAGTGTGTGCTGTCCTGCAGGCGATGGACAGCCGCTTTGAGGTCACTGTGCAGCAGGTGTTGGTGGAATGGGCTGATCAGCACGAACCTGCGGTTCAGGTGCGGCGGCTGCTTGCAGTCACACGGCAGTCATCGCAACACTCACTGCTGCAGCAGCAGCCCCCGCAGCGGCAGCGGCAGGAGCAGCAGCAAAGGCGTCAGCAGCAGCACCAGCCACAGCAGCGCAACCGGGTCGCTGCACAGCCAACACGCCAGCAGCACCATCGACCATCTGACGGACCATTGCCCAGTCCTGCTGTAACAGATGCTGAGCAACACATTCCTGGGTACTTCGGAGCATCCTGGCGCAGTGGCCCCGGCCACAGACTTGGCATCTCTGACCGGCTCGCGGCTTGGAGCGCTGTCACAAGCATGCTGCTGGCCAGTGCACTTGTGGTGTGCGCCATGTGCGGAGTCACCAGCACCGATTTGCACGATGACCTCAAGCGCTGGGCCACTGTGGAGCCTGTCGGTGCTGGCATTGCGCCATACTCATTCCACAACAGCTTGCATGCCGGCAGCACAACCACACACGAAGGCCTGTGGCACCTGTGTCCGCACTGTGCTCCATTGTATCCAGCGAACAGTGGCAATGAGCGAGCAGAGTATCTGGTCTTCCATCCACCAGACTATACCAAGGCCATCGTGTCCTTGGACGCCATTGACCAACTGCGGATAGGCCTAGTGGATGTTGGACTTGGCTTCTTTTCAGCGGCCTTTGGATTTGTTGCCGGCAAGCTTCGGCAGCAGCATTGCATGGAAGCGCTGGTCCTGGATTGGGCACGCGACTCCACACGCCGCGTCAACACGCTGCCCCCGGCACTGCAGGAGGTGCTGGGATGGAGCGTGCAGCACAACCCGCTCGTCAGGGAGTTCCTCACCGTTGCTGAACAAGTCCCGCCCAATCACCCATTGCCATACCTTTGTCCAGCTGATGTGCAATCGTTTGTCGCCAGTGAGCAAGCCTGCAAACCACTTGTGCTGGCCACCCTGGACGCAGCAGAGGCAGCTCGCTCACTCATATCGGTGGTTGTGCCTGCCATCCAGCGTGCAGCCATGAAGCATGCACCCGTGATGTACACCGCGGGAACATTGGTTCCGTGGTCGCCCACTCTGCCCGAGCTCAACCTGGCTGTTGCTGCAGACGGGACCCCACTGGACTATCAGTTTGGCCTGTCTGCGGAGATGGCCATGTTCCCCTATCTGTTTCCCTTTGGCTTTGGCGCATTTATGGGCGGCACGACCTTGGTCAAGTACTTAGCATACCGTGCCAAGTGCCTCTTCAGTGTGTGGACATTGTGCAAGCCGTACTTGCTGCTCATGTATGTGCTTCGCCAGAGTGCCCGGCTGCAGGATCAAAATACAGAGGTGAGTGCGATGCGGGTTTGCTAGTGATGCTGCGCATGATGCATGCTGCGCATGATGCCTGCCCAGCTGCTACCATGTGCAGGTTCTGAGCAGCAACATGCACGAAGAACTGCACGTCATGACCATCACGCCCGCCTGCATGTACAGGCCGTGCTGGAGAGTGCGCTCCTGGACTACAAGTCCCAGCACCCTAACGTGAGTGACGAGGACGCCATCCGTCACATTCTCAAGCACAAGCTGCCGGCCACGTTGCCCAACACGCCTGCATGGCACCGCAGCAACCTGCAAGATTTGCTGTGCATGGTGGACCGCTTTGGCATGCCGTCATTCTTTCTCACGCTCACAACCGATGAAGTGTCTGCCACACGCTGGCCCGAAGTCGAGACGCTGGAGCAAAAGCTGCAGGAGTAAGTCGTGTGCACGTCTATCTGCATCACTTGGCAAGCATCCTTGCATGGCGCCGTCCACCTCGGACGGGGGGTCCTTGTGAAGCAGCTGCCCGCGTTTCCAAAGGCTGTATGTTTTTGGTTGTAAGGTGCACAAGGACAAGAGCTAGGAACGGAATGGGGCCAGGCTGGAGAGGCAGGTGCAGCAGCAGAATGGAATGTGATGTATGCATACGAGGCTTACATGGCGGTTGGCGCAGGGCGTAATGTACTTGCAGTCAGTCGTTGCGGGCGCGAGTATGCTAGAAGCACAGGAACCACAACCAGAAGAACAAGAACAGCAGCACAGCAACAGCGCGCGCACAGGACACGTCTCGTCGATTCCGTGCTAAGAAGGAGGAACAAAGGAGAAGTCGTAGAGGAAAGATCCCTGTCGCGCGTGGATGGCCATGCCAGAACAGGCAACATGATGGGTGCTTTGCACGCTGCCAACTTGCCCCCGAGCACTCGAAGTGCAGACATACGAAGGAGCGCAACGAGGCCCCCCCTATCCTCAAACCTCACGCAATAGACCATCACAAGCGCCACCGTCCGTAAGGGCCGCAGCTTCCGTTCACACACGAGTTAAGGTCGGACAAGTATGCAGCGTGAATGAAGGCCTAAGGGCGATCGTGCCCTAATGAAACAGCACTGCTCAAGGTCGGGAAGCCTAGCGCTGAAATCGCGGGACCCAATCCGTCCAGCGTGAGGCGTGCAGGTGCTGTGTGGGCTAGGCGAGCGTGGCTGGGGCGTCATCGTCATCGTCTTGGACTGTGACGGCGGTGGGCGTGTGGGCGCTGCCGGCACGTCGCCGCCTCATTGCGTAGAAGGCCGGGCTGGCGGAAGGCGGCCCGCACAGCACATTGTAGCCGCCCGGCCCCCTAGCCTTGAACTGCGCGATGTAGAAGGCCTCCATCCGTTGGGCCAGTGCGGGATTGGCGGTGGACATGAGGCGCATGAGCGAGAAGTGGTCATGGAAGGGTTGGTAGCGGCTGGCGTCCTCCTTCATCCAGCTGGGTGGGTTGCGGGCATGAGCTTGGAAGCGACGTTGAGGGTCCCGGGACTGGCCGACGTACACTCTGCCGGTGGGAGCGCACGTGATGGTATACAGTCACGTGCGGGCGGGGGCACTGGAATCTGGCTCGGCGGGGCTGCTAGCGGCTCGCTTGGCTGGCGTGGTTGTGGTCAGGAGGGCGCCCGACGCTCACGCCTGCTGCGCGGCCGTCAGCACCGAGCGCGCGAACTCCTGGTCCGCCTTGAGGACGGTGCCCGTGTCCATGCCGTAGTCATAGATGAGCTCTATGGCGGTATCTGCTCGCAGGCTGCCGGCAGCCACGATCCACAGCTGCATGACCGCCGCATGCGTCGCCATCGCACGGTCCGGCATGTCGCCTTCGTGTATTGCTGCTGTGATGTTGTACAAGTACGCTGCAGGGGCATGGAGGGAGGGAGGGTGGATGTGAGGTTGGCGGGATGTCGGGACGGAAGTGGAGGCATGGAGGGGCGAGGCGTGACAGGAATGGATGCCGTGGCCACATGGCCGGACAGTTGGAGAGCGGGCACGGGGGACGGCAGCGGGTGCAAGCGAGGAAGGGGCGGCAAGGCAGCACGACTTACTGCTGGCGGGCTTGGCATCGTGCTGCTCCAGGAAGTCGTCCCTGTACTTTCGGGCCTCGGCCAGGAGCACGTTGAACTCGGCATTGGTGTGGTTAGCGCGCAGGACGTCCTCGGCGTGACATCCCATGCTTCCCAAGAGCAGCTGCTGCCTGACGGTACGAGGGGCAGCAGCAGGGCGTGTCAGGATGGTGGATGCACGGGACAGGCGGAGTGGCGCGTGGGCGCGCAGCAGGAATGGCATGCGTGCTGTGTGGCAGGGTGCGGCGCGGCAAGGCGGCAACTAGCAACGGAAGATGAGGCGCATACTTGAAAGACAGCGGCCGTCTCGGCACCCCGGATGGCGTGGAGTGATCGCAGCCTCCGCCTGTTGGCGACGCCGCTGCTAGTTGCGCCCACAGGTCGGCGATGTTGACGGGCGGCTTGGCTGACGCGCCGGCGGAAGAGCCCGACGGCAGGCTCGGCGAAGGCGCGCCGTAAGCGCCCAAGTTGGTGGGCGGAAGGGACTGTTGCGGGAGTTGGGATGGGCGAGCCAGTTTGGGAGGCATGTTGATCGCGGTTACCAAAGTAGAACTGGGGTCAGCGAAGCGAGAGGCTGGCTGGCTGCCGACCGCGAAAGCGAGTTCGGTATATAAGCTTAAAAATGGAAAGAGGAGAATGTATGGAAAAGAAGGCGACACAGGCCTGCATTTATACAAGTCGCGGCACCGTACAAACCGGACGCTTCAAGGGGGCGGGCTGAATCGGAAGAGCGCCGGAGCGCGGTCAGTACGTCTTCGCAGGGTGAGCATGGGCGTCGGCAGCTGCGGTAACGGGTGGGGCGCTGGGACAAGTGGAATGCGGCAATGAAAAAAGCGCCATGGAAATGGCAGGCGGACAAGCGGAAATGTGAAAGCGGCGTGTTGCTCCCAGCACAGCGAAAAGCTGTTGCATTCCAGGAGCGGCGTGCAGCTCGCCCGCTCAGTTGTGAATGCGAGGTCGGACAGGATTGGGGTGTAAAGTATGGAATGAATCAAAGTGCGCTAGGTGGTGAGGAGACGGGACTGGGGACATGGTGCTGACGGCGCTGCACAAGTGCATGGACGTGAATAAACTTTTGGAAAGGGGCTATGTTATGAAGCGCGAGAGATGCTCGCGGCCGGCGAAAAAGCCCCGGCCGGCCAGCCAAGACGGAATCGTTCATATTCTTGGAAATGCACGTCAACTCCAGCCAGACGAAAGATGCAGGATGTCGGCTAGTACGCGCAATATCCATATCGTAATTGCAAACCGCACAATAAATGTGATTTGCGGAAAACGCCAGGAGCCGCGACGCAGTGAATCGCGCAGTGATTCGGGGCGGGCACATGAAAGGGTGGCGCATGCGTGCAGCGGTTCGAAGGACCGGCGAGGAGCAGGATGTCACGAAATTTGTCCATAGCGACGGGTGTGCGGCCGGTTGTCGCGGTCCATACGAAAGAGGAAAATAACGCCAAACGGCTGTGCGCCCCCTGGCAGAAAGACGAACCGACCCGGCGAGCTGCGGGGGACACTGGGAAACGTATGCGGCGCGCGGGTCGGGGTCGTAGCTGAAATGCCAGGAAAGCCGAAAAGTGCGGTGCAGCAGTTGGCAAAAAAGCTTGTAAAGAGGCAAAAGCTCGTAGTGGGAAACAAGCGCAAGGGGTTGTGGCAAGCCGGAACGGCCATGGCCATGGCTACTGTCAGACCACCAGAACGGGCGTGAGCGCGATCTGGGCACCTGGACATCCCGCGCAATGTTAGCGATCCAGAGCAGAACCAGACAAACGGCAAAGAAGCACACGCGGAAGAGAACGATGCGTCGCCGCCATGTAGCTGTGGTGCATGCGACAATGCGCAAAGCGCAATCCGGCCGTGTGCCGGCGGGCAAAGGCGAACAGTTGCAAAGAACTTCCGGCGAGGCGGGCGAATGCCGCAACCGCGGCAACAGCGGGCGTAGCGCCGAGGAGGTGCATTGCGTGAGGTTCAGTGCAGGAGCTGATGAAGAGTGCACATTTAGACGAGATGGTAAGTCGGGCGAAGCGGCGGTAGGGACGTCGCGGAAGGCGGAGCGGCCGGCGGTGCTGTAGTTGCACAGGCAACGCCGGCGGACTCGTCCAGCGACGGAACGCCCGAAAAGGCACTGGACGTAGCGCGGCTTGGAAGTAGCGCGGGGTGCATATAAAATGGGGTAGGCGCGTGACTGAAAAGCCAAAATCAACTGTGTGAGTCGAAGTGTTGTGCCTTTACAGAAAGGAACTAGCGGAGTTCTGTACAGCCTGCTTGGTCGGCGACAGACGTCTGGCACTCCAGCGGCCACCTCGGGCAGTACTGTGTGGACGACAAGCTTAAACAGCACATTAAGGAATGGCAGTAAGTAACGTTCGCGGTTTCCAGCGCGCAATTCATCGTTGGGCACACTGGACTGTTGGAGACGCACGCAAGGCAAGTGGTGAGCAAGCTATCTGTTTGAAATGCTGCAGGCGGTGGCGAACGCGGATCTGGAGCGGCTGGCGCGGCTGGCGTCCGTAATGGACAACTGCGCGACGTCGCTGGCCGTGCTGTGCAAAGTGGTATCAGCGGCCTGCCCAGAGGAGGTGAAGACCGTCCAGTACATCACACAGGTGCACGCGGAGGATGGGCAGGAGGCGAGGTCGGCGATGAGGGATGTGGCCGCGGCGGCCATGTTTGACATCATCCGGCGGCATGTCCTTCATGGCAGCGCCCTGGCATTCCCGCTCCGGGAATGCGTGGCGTTGCCCAGCGCGCGCGCCAACGAGATTCTGCAGGGGACGCCGGCGGCATACGGCCGCGAGAAGCACGTGCCGTGCAGCATCACGGCCATGGAGTTCATGCGCGGGAGCGTCCTGGGCATCGTCGTGCAGGTGTTGGCCAGCACGCGCGCTTGGGCTGCAGAGCAGGGACTGCTTCGGAGGGCGGAGCACGGTTCGCCCATTGGGGACGGGCTGGTGCTAGCGGGCGGCAGCATTCACAACACGCTGCAGCCCGCGTCGCAGCGAATGGTGGTGGCACAGGCCGACACGGACGTCTTCGTGGTGGGTGCTGTGAGTGCGGCCGCAGGCGCGTGCATGGCGGCCCAGTTTTTCGAGGGCCTGGCGCATCGCGTGGAGGTGGTGCAGGACAGCTTGCTGCTGACGGAGCGCACCGTCAGCGCGCAGTACGTGATACCACCAGGTGTGGCTGCGCAACACCGTAGCAGCTCACGGGCAGGCAGATGCGTGGGGTCAAGCCGCTGTGTGACATGAGTTAGTCTGAAATTGTTTGTCAAAATCTGAGGGGGAACTTAAACTCCGTCAGCGTCTGCTCATGTCACACAGCGGCTTGACCCCACGCATCTGCCTGCCCGTGAGCTGCTACGGTGTTGCGCAGCTGCACCTGGTGGTATCACGTACTGCGTGCTGACGGTGCGCTCCGTCAGCAGCAAGCTGTCCTGCACCACCTCCACGCGATGCGCCAGGCCCTCGAAAAACTGGGCCGCCATGCACGCGCCTGCGGCCGCACTCACAGCACCCACCACGAAGACGTCCGTGTCGGCCTGTGCCACCACCATTCGCTGCGACGCGGGCTGCAGCGTGTTGTGAATGCTGCCGCCCGCTAGCACCAGCCCGTCCCCAATGGGCGAACCGTGCTCCGCCCTCCGAAGCAGTCCCTGCTCTGCAGCCCAAGCGCGCGTGCTGGCCAACACCTGCACGACGATGCCCAGGACGCTCCCGCGCATGAACTCCATGGCCGTGATGCTGCACGGCACGTGCTTCTCGCGGCCGTATGCCGCCGGCGTCCCCTGCAGAATCTCGTTGGCGCGCGCGCTGGGCAACGCCACGCATTCCCGGAGCGGGAATGCCAGGGCGCTGCCATGAAGGACATGCCGCCGGATGATGTCAAACATGGCCGCCGCGGCCACATCCCTCATCGCCGACCTCGCCTCCTGCCCATCCTCCGCGTGCACCTGTGTGATGTACTGGACGGTCTTCACCTCCTCTGGGCAGGCCGCTGATACCACTTTGCACAGCACGGCCAGCGACGTCGCGCAGTTGTCCATTACGGACGCCAGCCGCGCCAGCCGCTCCAGATCCGCGTTCGCCACCGCCTGCAGCATTTCAAACAGATAGCTTGCTCACCACTTGCCTTGCGTGCGTCTCCAACAGTCCAGTGTGCCCAACGGTGAATTGCGCGCTGGAAACCGCGAACGTTACTTACTGCCATTCCTTAATGTGCTGTTTAAGCTTGTCGTCCACACAGTACTGCCCGAGGTGGCCGCTGGAGTGCCAGACGTCTGTCGCCGACCAAGCAGGCTGTACAGAACTCCGCTAGTTCCTTTCTGTAAAGGCACAACACTTCGACTCACACAGTTGATTTTGGCTTTTCAGTCACGCGCCTACCCCATTTTATATGCACCCCGCGCTACTTCCAAGCCGCGCTACGTCCAGTGCCTTTTCGGGCGTTCCGTCGCTGGACGAGTCCGCCGGCGTTGCCTGTGCAACTACAGCACCGCCGGCCGCTCCGCCTTCCGCGACGTCCCTACCGCCGCTTCGCCCGACTTACCATCTCGTCTAAATGTGCACTCTTCATCAGCTCCTGCACTGAACCTCACGCAATGCACCTCCTCGGCGCTACGCCCGCTGTTGCCGCGGTTGCGGCATTCGCCCGCCTCGCCGGAAGTTCTTTGCAACTGTTCGCCTTTGCCCGCCGGCACACGGCCGGATTGCGCTTTGCGCATTGTCGCATGCACCACAGCTACATGGCGGCGACGCATCGTTCTCTTCCGCGTGTGCTTCTTTGCCGTTTGTCTGGTTCTGCTCTGGATCGCTAACATTGCGCGGGATGTCCAGGTGCCCAGATCGCGCTCACGCCCGTTCTGGTGGTCTGACAGTAGCCATGGCCGTTCCGGCTTGCCACAACCCCTTGCGCTTGTTTCCCACTACGAGCTTTTGCCTCTTTACAAGCTTTTTCGCCAACTGCTGCACCGCACTTTTCGGCTTTCCTGGCATTTCAGCTACGACCCCGACCCGCGCGCCGCGTACGTTTCCCAGTGTCCCCCGCAGCTCGCCGGGTCGGTTCGTCTTTCTGCCAGGGGGCGCACAGCCGTTTGGCGTTATTTTCCTCTTTCGTATGGACCGCGACAACCGGCCGCACACCCGTCGCTATGGACAAATTTCGTGACATCCTGCTCCTCGCCGGTCCTTCGAACCGCTGCACGCATGCGCCACCCTTTCATGTGCCCGCCCCGAATCACTGCGCGATTCACTGCGTCGCGGCTCCTGGCGTTTTCCGCAAATCACATTTATTGTGCGGTTTGCAATTACGATATGGATATTGCGCGTACTAGCCGACATCCTGCATCTTTCGTCCGGCTGGAGTTGACGTGCATTTCCAAGAATATGAACGATTCCGTCTTGGCTGGCCGGCCGGGGCTTTTTCGCCGGCCGCGAGCATCTCTCGCGCTTCATAACATAGCCCCTTTCCGAAAGTTTATTCACGTCCATGCACTTGCGCAGCGCCGTCAGCACCATGTCCCCAGTCCCGTCTCCTCACCACCTAGCGCACTTTGATTCATTCCATACTTTACACCCCAATCCTGTCCGACCTCGCGTTCACAACTGAGCGGGCGAGCTGCACGCCGCTCCTGGAATGCAACAGCTTTTCGCTGTGCTGGGAGCAACACGCCGCTTTCACATTTCCGCTTGTCCGCCTGCCATTTCCATGGCGCTTTTTTCATTGCCGCATTCCACTTGTCCCAGCGCCCCACCCGTTACCGCAGCTGCCGACGCCCATGCTCACCCTGCGAAGACGTACTGACCGCGCTCCGGCGCTCTTCCGATTCAGCCCGCCCCCTTGAAGCGTCCGGTTCGTACGGTGCCGCGACTTGTATAAATGCAGGCCTGTGTCGCCTTCTTTTCCATACATTCTCCTCTTTCCATTTTTAAGCTTATATACCGAACTCGCTTTCGCGGTCGGCAGCCAGCCAGCCTCTCGCTTCGCTGACCCCAGTTCTACTTTGGTAACCGCGATCAACATGCCTCCCAAACTGGCTCGCCCATCCCAACTCCCGCAACAGTCCCTTCCGCCCACCAACTTGGGCGCTTACGGCGCGCCTTCGCCGAGCCTGCCGTCGGGCTCTTCCGCCGGCGCGTCAGCCAAGCCGCCCGTCAACATCGCCGACCTGTGGGCGCAACTAGCAGCGGCGTCGCCAACAGGCGGAGGCCGCGATCACTCCACGCCATCCGGGGTGCCGAGACGGCCGCTGTCTTTCAAGTATGCGCCTCATCTTCCGTTGCTAGTTGCCGCCTTGCCGCGCCGCACCCTGCCACACAGCATGCATGCCATTCCTGCTGCGCGCCCACGCGCCACTCCGCCTGTCCCGTGCATCCACCATCCTGACACGCCCTGCTGCTGCCCCTCGTACCGTCAGGCAGCAGCTGCTCTTGGGAAGCATGGGATGTCACGCCGAGGACGTCCTGCGCGCTAACCACACCAATGCCGAGTTCAACGTGCTCCTGGCCGAGGCCCGAAAGTACAGGGACGACTTCCTGGAGCAGCACGACCCCAAGCCCGCCAGCAGTAAGTCGTGCTGCCTTGCCGCCCCTTCCTCGCTTGCACCCGCTGCCGTCCCCCGTGCCCGCTCTCCAACTGTCCGGCCATGTGGCCACGGCATCCATTCCTGTCACGCCTCGCCCCTCCATGCCTCCACTTCCGTCCCGACATCCCGCCAACCTCACATCCACCCTCCCTCCCTCCATGCCCCTGCAGCGTACTTGTACAACATCACAGCAGCAATACACGAAGGCGACATGCCGGACCGTGCGACGGCGACGCATGCGGCAGTCATGCAGCTGTGGATCGCAGCTGCCGGCAGCCTGCGAGCAGATACCGCCATAGAGCTCATCTATGACTACGGCATGGACGCGGGCACCGTCCTCAAGGCGGACCAGGAGTTCGCGCGCTCGGTGCTGACGGCCGCGCAGCAGGCGCGAGCGTCGGGCGCCCTCCTGACCACAACCACGCCAGCCAAGCGAGCCGCTAGCAGCCCCGCCGAGCCAGATTCCAGTGCCCCCGCCCGCACGTGACTGTATACCATCACGTGCGCTCCCACCGGCAGAGTGTACGTCGGCCAGTCCCGGGACCCTCAACGTCGCTTCCAGGCTCATGCCCGCAACCCACCCAGCCGGATGAAGGAGGACGCCAGCCGCTACCAACCCTTCCATGACCACTTCTCGCTCACGCGCCTCATGTCCACCGCCAATCCCGCACTGGCCCAACGGATGGAGGCCTTCTACATCGCGCAGTTCAAGGCTAGGGGGCCGGGCGGCTACAATGTGCTGTGCGGGCCGCCTTCCGCCAGCCCGGCCTTCTACGCAATGAGGCGGCGACGTGCCGGCAGCGCCCACATGCCCACCGCCGTCACAGTCCAAGACGCCCACACAGCACCTGCACGCCTCACGCTGGACGGATTGGGTCCCGCGATTTCAGCGCTAGGCTTCCCGATCTTGAGCAGTGCTGTTTCATTAGGGCACGATCGCCCTTAGGCCTTCATTCACGCTGCATACTTGTCCGACCTTAACTCGTGTGTGAACGGAAGCTGCGGCCCTTACGGACGGCGGCGCTTGCGATGGTCTATTGCGTGAGGTTTGAGGATAGGGGGGGGCTCGTTGCGCTCCTTCGTATGTCCGCACTTCGAGTGCTCGGGGGCAAGTTGGCAGCGTGCAAAGCACCCATCATGTTGCCTGTTCTGGCATGGCCATCCACGCGCGACAGGGATCTTTCCTCTACGACTTCTCCTTTGTTCCTCCTTCTTAGCACGGAATCGACGAGACGTGTCCTGTGCGCGCGCTGTTGCTGTGCTGCTGTTCTTGTTCTTCTGGTTGTGGTTCCTGTGCTTCTAGCATACTCGCGCCCGCAACGACTGACTGCAAGTACATTACGCCCTGCGCCAACCGCCATGTAAGCCTCGTATGCATACATCACATTCCATTCTGCTGCTGCACCTGCCTCTCCAGCCTGGCCCCATTCCGTTCCTAGCTCTTGTCCTTGCGCACCTTACAACCAAAAACATACAGCCTTTGGAAACGCGGGCAGCTGCTTCACAAGGACCCCCCTCTTTAAGCAGCCTCTCGCACAAATGTGTCCGGTCGTACTGTGCCGAATAAAACATCCGTACAAGACGCCCAAAGCCAGGCGCGAATTTTAGCGCGCGGATGCGCACGTGCGATTCTCAAAATGCGCGTGTACAAGTGTATGTCTTTTTTTGGCGAAGAAAGGCCGAGGTGTGCCAGCGCGTTGCGCAGGAGCCACAGACGCACGCGGCATGCAGGCCGGAAATTTGGGTGGCTGCTTTGCCGTAACTGAAAGCACCGAAAGCAAACAACGTAGCTTGCAAGGCTGGGCTCAATAAACGGCCACGGGAAGAGGAAGCGTTGGGCGAAGCGGCACTTTTGTGAAAGCAAAGGGGCGCGCTTTTGGTAGCGCAACGCATACAGCACCCTGTTCAGAGTAAAATCAAAGTACAAACTTGTGCAAAATATAACATACACAAACTTAAATAAACATAAAAACAGGAAAGTCGTTCAGAGCCGTGCGGGTGACTTGGACGCCGCTGATGGCTTGGAACAGCTTTTTGCTGTGCATGCGGCCGTGCCTGCGTTAGCCGTGTTGCAGCAGCTCCGGATGGACTTCAGCCAGCAGCAGGCTCAAAAGCTGCTGGACAACCACCGGGAATGTCTTCAGTTGGGCACGTGTAGTTTTGGTCGGCGGGGTCGAGCATCGTACGCATTGCGCACAGAAACCGAGGTGCAGCGTCTCTGTAACATCGCCAACATATCCGGTACACGGTAGCAGGCTTGCCGAGCACGAAATGAAGGGGGGGTCGCATCTCACCATTCAACTAAGCATGCATGTGCTCGGTTGAATGCTCAGTAGCGTGCGAGTTTACCTATCAGTATGTTTGTTTGCATATCCCTCCAAGCGAGAGGGCTTGGACCTATACTGATGTTCGTTACAAGAAGTGAACTGAGGACTGATGCTACACGTCATGTATACGCGTTGCTTAGCTTGCAACGTGACGCGCCCACGATGAAAGGTATGCACGTAAATTCGCCCGGTGCGCCGAACACCTTGAACGCTTCAACTACAATCACAATAGACTGCTGCACTATTCTTTCCAGTCCTGCCACATTATGTTTCACCGACGTACTTCGGCACCTTCCACATCTATAACGCGGTCAGCTGCTTCACCAGGGCCCCCATATTTACGCAAGAGGTAAACGAACATTTATGAAGAAAAAAAGAGCGTCAGACTTGTCTCTAATGGGTCCCCAGCTTTTACGGACACCCGGAGCTTGTAACTTGGTAGTGTGACTATCACCGCCTGTCACTGTCACGTTAAGATAATTGCAAAACAGAGTTTTTAGCTATTCATTTAAGCCGCGCAACTTGGTGATCCTGCTTACAATCTTCGGCCAGCCGTCGCGGGAATGCCCGGTCGTTGCACGTACAAACAGAACGGCCGGCCGGGAGGGGGTGTAGTTCAGTGATTATAAAAAGACGTATTGAACCCCCGTTATCCACACGACGACGAACATGAAGCATAATTCATCTTACCGGTTGCTTGGCATCCTTATGATGGCTTTCTGCCAGTCAACTGCTGGCAGCCTTGACGTGGCCAATGTTGCTCTCTACATGAGCGAGTCTAGTGGCGTTCTGGATCTATCATGGGACAATGGGCCGATGCATCTTTCGCAGCAACTTGCAAATTTAGGCTTGGTCGTGCAATCGGCAGCTGATGCCCAACCTTCCCTTGGCGACATCGATGCTCCCAGCGCCTACATCATTCCTGCTCAATATGGGCATACACTGTACACAGCGGCAGAGGATATGAGCGAGGTCGCATCGTTTCTTTCCCATGGTGGCCTTGTAATCGTTCTTGACGCCGGCCTGGGAAATGGTGCAGCCCTGCGAGATTTCGTTTCACAAGCGCTGTCTCTGAAAGGTGAGCAAAAAATGGAAACATTTGCCGAACGTGCGCGGATCTTGATTTGAAAACCACAACACCCAGGCAGTTGACCAACTGCTCGTGTTGAATAGTTTGACCCAGCTTCAATCTTTAAAATCGTCTTTTCTTTTCTTAACGCGTTCTCGCAGGCGCATGGAATCTGTGCAAGCAGACTGGCACGACTGACAAGTTGCGGCGCTTTAGCCGCTCGAGCGGTCCTTCGCTCAGCGATGCCGCACTTTCTTTCCTCCCTGGTGGGAGTTTTCCTGGTTCGCCCGACTGGCCTGAGACCCTTGAGGACGCGCGCATCAGCACTACCTACACGTCCTGCCAGCACCAGGATAGCGACGCTGTCATTAGACCGCTTTACACGCTCTTCGGCGACGAAATGCAGGTCGCTGCGCAGGCAAGTAGAGAATGCGAGGTCCATCGAATTACCTGTTGGCACGCGTTGCGGGTCCCAGCAACAGCGCATAATCATAATCCTCAGGACTTCTTTGGACCCATATGACCTTTATAGCCGTAGTATCTCATGTGTATGCCGCCAGAGTGCTATCTTACGACTTTCTTCCAAAGGACAACATCGCGACTTGTGGGACGCGAACGGTTCAGCCTGCCCAGGATTCCGGGCTAAGGATGATGTGATTTTCCCACTTTGGCTGCCTGTACGCAGGCGTTCGGCAAGGTTGGCAGCCCCGGCGCCGTGGTGTGGCTCGGTTACAGCTGGAAGGACGGGCCCCAGCCGCAATGGGGCGCGCTGCTGAAGAAGCTCATCACCGACTTCGCAAACGGTAGGTAGCCGATGTGGGTGGGTTTCCCTGTGTGTGGGTGGTCGGTAGCTGTTACGTTATCTGTACGGATACACGGACACTCGGCCATGAGCGGCAGAACGGGGCAACATAACGACCTGTGTTTTGGACAGAGCCGTTACTGGCTTCAGCCTGCGATACATAACTTGGACGTTATTTCTCACATCGGCCCTCCTGCATGTAACCCTCTCTCCAAGCTAGTTGCATCGCTCAGTAGATTTCAACATTCCTGAGATCGCCAACACTTATTTGCTGTTCATTCAGGGCTGTACGAAATTCCGCTTGAGGAAGACCCGGCGCCCACGGATATGCTGTCTTGGATTATTGAGGGCGCCGCGGACGTCGGCCGGGATATCGACAGTGTCGTGAGGCGCTCGTTGCTCGTGCCCGCTGTCTACCCGCCTGCGCCAACCCATGGTAACAACGGTAACAAAGGCAACCATGGCAACAACGGGAATAACAGGAACAACGGCAAGAGCAGGAGCCATCGCCTTTTCGAGGCCGTTGTAAGGCGCTCCATGCTTGCGCCCACAGTGTATCAGGCCGCCCTAAGCAATGGAGACGACGACAACGGCCATCGCCGTCGCCTTGCTGATGACGTCACCGAGCAGCTTGTCAACAGCGTTGTAAAGCGCTTCATGCTTGCGCCCGCAGTCTACCCGGCCGCCCCAAGCAATGTAGACGACGGCAACAGCCATAGTTCTCGCCTTGCTGAAGACGACACCGAGCAGCTTGTCAACAGCGTTGTAAAGCGCTTCATGCTTGCGCCCGCAGTCTACCCGGCCGCCCCAAGCAATGTTGACTATGGCAACAGCCATAGTTCTCGCCTTGCTGAAGACGACACCGAGCAGCTTGTCAACAGCGTTGTAAAGCGCTTCATGCTTGCGCCCGCAGTCTACCCGGCCGCCCCAAGCAATGTTGACTACGGCAACAGCCATAGTTCTCGCCTTGCTGAAGACGACACCGAGCAGCTTGTCAACAGCGTTGTAAAGCGCTTCATGCTTGCGCCCGCAGTCTACCCGGCCGCCCCAAGCAATGTTGACTACGGCAACAGCCATAGTTCTCGCCTTGCTGAAGACGACACCGAGCAGCTTGTCAACAGCGTTGTAAAGCGCTTCATGCTTGCGCCCGCAGTCTACCCGGCCGCCCCAAGCAATGTTGACTACGGCAACAGCCATAGTTCTCGCCTTGCTGAAGACGACACCGAGCAGCTTGTCAACAGCGTTGTAAAGCGCTTCATGCTTGCGCCCGCAGTCTACCCGGCCGCCCCAAGCAATGTTGACTACGGCAACAGCCATAGTTCTCGCCTTGCTGAAGACGACACCGAGCAGCTTGTCAACAGCGTTGTAAAGCGCTTCATGCTTGCGCCCGCAGTCTACCCGGCCGCCCCAAGCAATGTTGACTACGGCAACAGCCATAGTTCTCGCCTTGCTGAAGACGACACCGAGCAGCTTGTCAACAGCGTTGTAAAGCGCTTCATGCTTGCGCCCGCAGTCTACCCGGCCGCCCCAAGCAATGTTGACTACGGCAACAGCCATAGTTCTCGCCTTGCTGAAGACGACACCGAGCAGCTTGTCAACAGCGTTGTAAAGCGCTTCATGCTTGCGCCCGCAGTCTACCCAGCCGCCCCAAGCAATGGAGACGACAACAGCCATAGTTCTCGCCTTGCTGAAGACGACACCGAGCAGCTTGTCAACAGCGTTGTAAAGCGCTTCATGCTTGCGCCCGCAGTCTACCCGGCCGCCCCAAGCAATGTTGACTACGGCAACAGTACAACGGCAACAAGGCAATAGCAGGAGCCGTCGCCTGTCGGACGCCGACGTTGAGCAGCTTGTCGACAACGTTGTAAGGCGCTCCATGCTCGTGCCCGCTGTGTACCCGCCCGCCCCAAGGAATGGCAACGACGCTAAGAACGGCAATAGCCGAAGCCGGCGCCTTTACGGGGATGACGTTGAACAAGTCGTCCGCCTATTCTTGGCTGTTGCACCCGCTGCTGTCTACCCTGGTGGTCCTGCTGTTGCTAGCAGCAACGGCAACATCGAGGGCAATATTGAAAAGGGCAACAACGACAAAGGCAATCGCCGGGCACTTTACGAAGATGATATGTACCAGCTGGCCCGCAGATTCCTGACCACAGCGCCCACCCCGATTTACCCTTCAATTCGCGGTGACAGCGTTAACGACATCGGCAGCAACAGCAAACTGCACTAGCAGAGAAATCTGTACATATGTCCAGGTAAGTACGTGCCGGTGCGACACCCGCACGTCATTCATACTGGTACCTGTCATTTTGGGTATCTTAGCCACAAACCCCTTGAGCGATTCCGTAAGCGACCTTCGTGAGCGCGCTGTTAAGGAATTCCGTTCATGCGGTCTCCTCTTCATACACATCCACTCGCATGGGCATGTTCTACTTCTTACCGTCTTCTTACCGTGAAGCGAATTATGACCTGAAAATCTCATATCTCATTTATTCGATCCTGTATCATGGTACATACAATGTCCACGTACTCGCATCCGATGGCACATGATTTCGTGACCGGGGATGAATGCGCGTGCACATATTTATACATAGCCTTGACGATACCCGCGTGGACGTCCTATTGTGTTTTTTAGCGTAAAGCTAAGCACCGGAAAACGTGTATACGGGAAATTCGTTGCCAACACGCGCTTATATATGGAGCGACTTCATTTTTCTTCACTATTGTTGAGTATCCAGTACATATAAAGATATGGCTATGTATTGCCGCATATAGTTGGGCGCGTTGTCAGCCGTTGAGGGGCCGTTGAGGGGCCCGAGCCCATATTGCCACTGTTACATATTGGTGGTAGGGCCTGTGCTTTATCATGTAGTTTAATGGGGTTCTTGGGTTGGATTTCATGGCCAGAGCCTTGGGCCGCCTGCGAGTGCTTATTTCTTATTTCCGTTTCAGATAACAATTTTTCCGTCCTAACGCACCGTCCTGCTACCTGCTGGGATGACGGAACCTGTCGGAGACTTTTACTTCGACGTGTGGCAGGATGAATTTGTCGGTGTAGACCAGCGGGAGTTCTAGGCACTAAAACTAGGTACGAGGGAAGTGCGGTAGTAGCATGTAGTAGAAGACACGTAGGTAGGAAGGTGGGTAGGTAGGTAGGTAGATAGGTAGGTAGGTAGGTAACAGTCGTAGTGCGTGTTAGTTGAAGGCCGGGAATTATAGATGCATATTCATATACTAGGTATGGCTTAGAGAGCGAACATACTTTTTCCTAGGGGAGCTTTGACTTATTGACGATTAACCATTGACTTCATTAATTTCTAGAATGTTAGGATCAGGTGCAGTGCGGCATTCTCGTAAAACCTCAGTTTTATCGCTTGATTGTGGCGGCTTATCGGGGTCTTTTTATTTTATGTCATGTTCCTTTCGCTGGTTTGTATGCGTGACTTATATGCATTCCAAGAATGCCGTGGTGTCTGGGGATAGGCTGCTGTCCTGTTTGGGAAGGTGGATGAGGTGGATGAGGTCGGTACGCGTACTTTAGACAGATTTCATGCAGTGTTATATAGGCTTAATATTAGTACTTGTTTGCAGGCTAGTTGGAAAAGTGTATCCATTGGACGCAGGTTAGGCGTATCGCTTCGTAATCGTTGCGTTGTAGTTGCGGGATTGGCTACTCCGAAACCATCGTGAATTGTTGTATGGGCCTAGGCCCAGGCGCAGGCGAGGTCACTAATATGTTGGAAGTTGTTGTTCTGTATTTGGGACAAGTAAGGGTGCCCAAGTCGCGGGGATGAAAGGCCATCGATCATTAATGAGATAACCTGATTTTTCTCTGACATCTTGAGCTGATCCGATTCTTGTTTGTAACCATTTTTACTTCGCTCGCCTCTCGGCTTGTGTTTTAATCAAAATGCATAAACACAAAGCCCCCAACTATCACACAGCACCAAGTGAAATTCGCATGGACATAAGACAACTTCAGCCATGATCCTTACAATTTATTCCATTCACAAACAGAGCAGGACCAGCAGATGTCAGCTTAAAGACATCAAATCCATTCATTCCTCCTGCGCGCACGGTAGCAAGTTACAAGTTCCGCACACAAGTGCGGGTGTGTCCGTAAAAGCCGAGGGGGCCGTGGACGTTGTATTGGTACTTATGCGGGTACGCGGGAGGTCATCTTCATTCTCCCTCGTCCGCTTCAAGGCGAAGCGCCTCAGCGCGACGTGCCTGGCCTCCCAAATTTCCGAGAGGTACCTGGGCAATGCCAGGGGTGGCGCCTCAGTCATAATGGTGCGCATGCTGCGCCCCTTAAGGACTAGATCACCATCATACTTAGCCCGTATACTCTTGTAAGCGGGACATTCATCGAAAACATGCAACTCATCTTCAACCGCTCCACAGTCACAAAGCCTGCTATAAGGTGATAAATCGTAGAATTAACAATGTGATAAAGCGGCCCAGAAGCCTCCCACTCTGTAACATTACATTACATTACAAAGCCTGCAGGTACACGCGGTGCGCTCACGCCCATTAGGCCTATTAACCTCTAACTCCCAACAGCCCAACCGAAAACGCATGAGCACATGATGTAGTCGCTGGGGCATGGTCACTTTAGTGTGCTCCAACCAATCGAGACGCGCACCCCTAGGCGTGGCCGCTCCCATCCAGTTCATATAGCGACAATACTTGGCTCCGGTAATCCCTATGGGGAAAACGCGGGGTTCACCCAAGGTATTCGGGCACTCCCACCGTCTCATCAAGCCGCTTGGCAAATGCCTTAAGAATGCTCTCAACTGGCAATTTAAGGGTAGCGTAATACGCTATAAGATCATTACCGCGCGTATTAGTGGGGGATTCCGCTCCTAAGCTAGTAAGGAAGGCTAGTACCTTACTTGTCCAACACTCGATGACGCCCCCAACTGCCAATTCCAGGTCAGCGACAAATGCCCGGTGACACAGTGTTCCCGGCCTCTTAACCACAGAGTTCCAAAACCTAAGTACAAGATTGGTCCAATGGAACTGGAGCGGCCTCTGTGACAGCTCGCGGTATAGGGAAGCCGTAGTCGGGCTCCTCGCCACAACTACAGATCGCACGTATGCACGCTGTTCCTGGACCATGGGATTAGTCATAGCACCTTCAAAACTCACATTTATGAAGTCAGGTCCCCAAACTTGCGCTCCATAAGAAAACACCGGTACAACTAGTGTATTGTAGAGAGACATACATAGCTTGGGGGTGGTAAGTTTCTTATCTCGACACAGGGTGCTGAGTCCAAACGTGGCCCGCCTCCCTGCTGTGAGTAGTTGCTTGGTACATGCTGAAAACTGTGCTCCTGGGCCATAGTGCAACCCGAGGTACCAAGCCGTCTCGTTGCCGGTCAGCACCCGCAACCCCACCCCACCTAACCGGTACTCAGCTTCCATAAGCCGCTTCCGCTCACGTGTAGCGCCCCAAAAATGAGGACCTCGCACTTGGCGGCATTCGCGGCCATACCTGTCGCTTTGCAGTAGGCTTCGAGTAGGTGGTAGGTGGTAGGTGGTAGCTTTGACACACACACGCACACACACACACACACACACACACACACGCACACACACACATACACACACACGCACACGCACACGCACACACATACACACACACATACACACACACACGCACACGCACACGCACACACACACACACGCACACGCGACACCTCCCTGGTTCGCGCGAGTTCCTTGAACCCTGCCCGCTCCCCCGCAACGGAGAATCGGAGACCGAGCTAGGTTAGGGCCTCGTGCCTTCATGGGGCGGGGTAGGGTATGTACAGGGTTTCCGGGTTTCCTCTGTGTCTTAGAAGTGAACTCTCTCACCCCAAGAGCCGGATCAGGCCCGGGGGATGGAGAGGGGGGGAGTCTTGTTGCGTGTTTCAGGCTCAATGCGTAAACTCGCGTGACGGAGCCGTGACTCATGAGAGCGTGCGCGCGTGCGACGCATCCCACCCACCGGTGGAGGGGAGAGCGGAGGAGCTAGCGGACCTGCGGCTCTCGGCTGCTTAGGAGGAGGGGACAGAGAACCCCCTCACGCCCCTTGCGCCCCGTCCGCGGGAGAGAGCTTAGGCGGTCTTTCCGTTGGGGCTGGGCTGCAGTCCCTGGCCCGGTGTCAGGCCCAGTCAGATACCTAGGGAGGAGCGAGTATGCCCCTGCTGCGGCACTGATAGGCGTATCGAGGATGAAAAGCACAACTTTCTGGACTGTCCAGTGTACGACAAAATCAGATCTGATATGGATTTCCCACGCTTCGAGCATATGAAGGACGCTATGAAGTGGGAACCTGATTGCCTGGCAAGGATGCTGGGGCGTATATGGTCCCACCGCAACTCTATCGCTTCCTTTGGTCGTTAGTGTCCTTTATCACTTGCTTTGTTTGAAGTGCGAGGTAGGACGGTGCTTATTGGCAATCTATCAGCCCTTGAGCCCTCGGCTCGTATTAGGGCGGTTTGCAGGCACGGGGAAGGCACCCACGACCATGTAACACACACACACACACACACACACACACACACACACACACACACACACACATACACACACACACACACACACACACACACACACACACACACACACACACACACACACACACACACACACACACACACACACACACACACACAGA